TAAAAAATTTCGTGTAGTTTTTTTTTTCAAAAATAATCTTTGTACCGGCCCAACCCGACCCAGAGTCCTGGCTCCGCCCCTGCTAATTAGTACTCCATTAGATATGTACGGACAGAACCTTCCATATAAGGGGTGAATTGCATTTTTTAAATTAGTTCGGGAGCCTATTTGACCCTTTTGTCTTTTTTATAATAAAAAAGCACGTACATATTATAAATTGTGTTACGAGCAAGTTCAATTTTGTTTGTCATCAGTGCAATATGAGGGTCGACTAACTAGTTAGTAAATACGGAGTACATACTACCTATAACGGAATGACATGTTTTGGTCACACTATACATATTTTCCATTTTTCCACTTCAAGGAGCTAATTACATGATTTATAACATTTTTGTATCTACCAAATGAAAAATGTCAAAATTGAGCGATTGTGCCATAAAAATTGCCAAAAAGAAATACCCCGTCTAAGGAAGTTATTTTAATTAAAGTTGGAATTTCAATATAAATAAAAACAAAAGCTCAATTAAAAATATCCTAGTACAATTTTTTTGGGAACGGAAAATATCCTAGATTAGCTTCAGGATCGTTACATCAATCGAAGGAAAATCAAAACTGACACCAACTAACCTCCAAAAACTACAACTATAAACCCTATGATGAGCCTTAGAAACAACCACCCCTGAAAGAGTAACACGAATCGCTAATCATGTAACAGGCTTGACACAGTTGCCCCTCGTTCTATAGATCCATATACTCCCAACTACATAAAAACAGGCAAAGCTTCGAAACAGAATGACAACCCTAACAACATAAACGTTAACAAAAATCCAAATGACAAAAAAAAAACAAAAACTAAAAGGATAATTTTCACAGACCCTAGCACTTCGTTCACCCCATGGCGGTGGTTTGGGAGGAGGTCGTACCGTCTGTACCACTCTAATTGAATCTCCATTGTTGATCAAAGTCTGACCCACGCCAAACTCAATGGGCTCCTCGTCAAAGACTAGTTCTTCCTCTTGATTCCCAATAGTCATCTCCTGCTTATACTTGTTTGCAATATCTTCCATCTCACTATTAGCCGCAGTTCGTTCGAGGTACAGAAGAGTCCGTACAACAAGCCAAAGTAGCAACCGAAAACAATGCTCTGCTTTCTAATCCACCAAGCCGAAATCAAGTGCCCTGCGAAGAAGTCAATATCACCCACACAAAGCCCGGCCGAAGGACCGTCAAGACCGACGTGCCCTACTGCTAGGAAGAATCGGCCGTCACAGAAACGGCGCACCTCCGGACTCCAACCCTAATCACCTAGGGAGACGACCACGGTTTTTTTGAAACTATTGTTTGGCAACTTTCATAGCAAGTTAGCAACTCCTTATTAACTAAGCAAATTCTATATTTTCTTATATATCCTAGTACAAATTAAACTACATATTTCACTTTACTTGATTTATCTCATATATATTAATCTTTTTACATTTACCACCATGTTTATCTTACACCATATTTGATAAAGTATTTATATAGTTTAAATTGATTCATACTTGAATATTTATATGAACCACATTATTTCGCCTTTTTTGTTTTTCTTTTCTTTTTAATGCATGTGCATAAATATTTAGTCCACTTTCTTAATATATGCATGCCTCTTCCTTATATATCCCAAACATTTATTTCTCGTTGTTTCTTCCCTACCAAAGAAAAAAGTATTCCCCACTCCCCTCCTTATTTCTTTTGCTCTCAAAAGAGTAATTCTTTTATTAACTAGGTCATTCATTGTGCAAAATGTTGTGGGTGCACACTTTTTTACACATATAATGTACACTTATCTGTTTACACAAACAATTTCAAAATCTATCTTGTAGACAGACACTGATGGAGTAATGGGACTAGGCCCAGAGCCTAATCGGCCCAAGCCCCGAACTTGGACCCTTGGATCCAAGTCCACAACCTGGAGCCTGCCTACCAGCCCAGCGGGAAGCCTGCCAGTCCGGCCGACCTGCCAGCTAGGAAAAGTAACGGTCAAGCAATCAATGCGCTATTAATTATGTATTTAATTCTGTGTTAATGTTGTAATTAATTAGTCATTATTATCGATAGCGGTTACGATTTGTATACGCCTATAAATGGCACGTTGTAATTCAGATTAGGGGGCGAATTCTAGATGCTATTTCTGGCTACCAAACTCTCTAGCTACCTTCCTTACTCGTATTACTTTCCTGATTTCTGCTTGAGTGTTCTTACGTAGCTTTCCTAAAAGCCTACGAGCGTCCTATTTTGGACCAACATTGGTGCTTTCATTGAGAGTCTCTCGTTGTCTCTCACATCACTCTAGTAGGAAATAACCAGAAAACTTCAGGAAAAATGGAAAGTTTGAAGGTTTCTGTGAGTTTTTCATATCTGAAATTCAAAATCTGAACAAAGAATGAAAAAATTGGTCTTGTAAAGCAATGGGGATGTGGGTGTAGGCCATCAACCAGCGTCCACACGAAGACCTAGAAAACATGGAGGATGGCACTTGGAACTGTACTGGTTGGCAACGCAGCCCAGCAACACCGACCCACCTCCGTCCCGGCGGTGCCTGCCTCTCCACCGATCGCGCCGCAGCCGTGTTGGTCACCCTCACAGCTGACGATTGGAGCCTGGGTCACGGTTACCTCCTCGATCCATGGCCCTGTACTCCGATTGCTGGAGCTCAACCTCAAATATCTGCCATTAATGGCGGCCAGAAGCTACTGGAAGTAACAATGCAGTTATGCAACCCATCGGAACCGATGTTCACATCGGCAGACCCAACGCCCCTAGTACGCTCTCTGGTGACCTCCAACGACGACGACCGCCCGGCTGTACTAGGCGGTGACGTCCGTACGCGGGGACCATCGGGTTCGACGGCGCGTCCCTTATGACCAAATGCTCACTGTCTCGGCCTCCATGTCTGGCGGCTGTAAGAGGAAGGCTTGGTAAGATGGTCAACTATTAGGTTGCTCTAGTTGGCCGTATACAGCAGGGGTGGGTGAAAGGCAAAAGAGTTGGGCCAAATGGAAACAGTTGACCGGACCACCTTTGGGCGAGCCAATTTATTCAATGGACCAGATTTCAATTTTCAACAAGATTTCAGTCTCGTCTTTCAAAAAGCTAAGTATACAAAAATCTTCAATATTTGTTACGGAGTGCATAAAAAATATGAAACAAAAATCATAAATCGAGCCATTTGAAAAGATAAATTAAGTGGTATAATTGCTTTTACTCTTTTCAAATGTGTGTAATTTTAACATTGAAAAATGGACTTATGAAATCCAATCACTCACATACACCGGACGAGCACACACACTCGTACAATGGTCGAGCACACACATTCGTGCCACCGGATCATGTCATATGGGTGTGGCGATTAATAAGCTCCAATATAAATGTTAATACCGCACACTCTTGATTTCATACGAGTTTTTGCGTGCTTTTACCCCTTCCTAGTGCATCACACTCCGACCTCGGGGGACGTGTCGCCCGTTCAAAAGTCTTCACTTGCGGGTTCGAACTACTAACCTCGGGTGCCGAGTTAAACTCTTGTTAGGGGCCTAGAGCCACGCTCTTCCGAGCAATTTTCTCACTTAATTGACATTCACATTTCCCGAAAAGGCTGATATACTTTAGTTCTGTGGGGTTGGATTATCCGTTCGAATGGTGACTCCGAGTCACTTACTCGCGGATTCAATCTTCCTTTCGGAGACTGGGTTGAGACCTAACTTGGGAATTTGATGTCACTCTTTTCAGGTAGTGAGTCTGACTCACTTACTCACTGAGCCATGGTTCAGCACCGGGCCAGATGCTCTATTTTACACTTGTTGCTTTTATGTGCAGGTACGACTGAACGAAGACGAGCCTGATGAGTCCGAGCCCGATGAGAAGAACGGTTCTGGCCATCCTCTTCGCTAATGGTGATCATTGCAATAAAGGCTGAAGATTTCACCCTTTGCTTCATCTTGGGGCCATCGGGTGTACTCTTTTTCCCTTCATTAGAATTTTTTCCCATCGGGTTTTTTCCTGATGAAGGTTTTTAATGAGGCATCTCCCCAACATGGACAAGGGCAGAGATCTTCCAGTCTCGGAGAAGGGCAGCTGACTTGGACTACTCCCTCTTAGTCGAGTCTACTACTCGACTAAGGGAGTGGGGGACTCGTGATGGAGTAATGGGACTAGGCCCAGAGCCTAATCGGCCCAAGCCCCGAACTTGGACCCTTGGATCCAAGTCCACAACCTGGAGCCTGCCTACCAGCCCAGCGGGAAGCCTGCCAGTCCGGCCGACCTGCCAGCTAGGAAAAGTAACGGTCAAGCAATCAATGCGCTATTAATTATGTATTTAATTCTGTGTTAATGTTGTAATTAATTAGTCATTATTATCGATAGCGGTTACGATTTGTATACGCCTATAAATGGCACGTTGTAATTCAGATTAGGGGGCGAATTCTAGATGCTATTTCTGGCTACCAAACTCTCTAGCTACCTTCCTTACTCGTATTACTTTCCTGATTTCTGCTTGAGTGTTCTTACGTAGCTTTCCTAAAAGCCTACGAGCGTCCTATTTTGGACCAACAGACACCATATTCCGTACAAAATCAAACATAGTTTATCATCGATTGTATTGCGCTAGAGCGTATTTTGTAGCCATTATTACACCGTGTAATTTACACGTTGCATTGCCTTTTCCGAGAAAGTGAAAATAAATCATTAAAAGGTTTATGCAAAATTGATAATGATATAATTGACTTTTGGTTTGTTGAACATGTTATTATTATTTTTTTGAAAGGGAACATGTAATTATTCAAGCGCATTATTTGCTAAAATTTAATTACTCATAATTATATCTGAAAATGACGGGTAAATAATAGTTTTCATTGTTCTATTAAATAAAAACAACCACTTGACTCATTTTTAGTCTAAGCTAAAGCAGACAAGCAGTGCACTTAATTGTAGCTAATGAAAACTGCTTATCTTACATTCTTACTCAACAATTCAACATCCCAAAAGAAGTCTACAAAATTTGTAGCAAAATTCGTAAGTGTTGAGACAGATAAATATAGACCAAACATTAGAATACAAACCAAACCACCATATGGGATTACTTGTCCTTCTCAAAAGAAATTAGAGTCTGAATGGAACTCAAGTCTAAAAACACCATCTCTCTCTTGTAAAATAAGTGAGCTACTGTTAAATTAAGGTTGACACATGACACATTCTCCTTCATTAAAAAGTGAAGGAGAGGGGAATTCAGAGTTTTCCTTTTCAGTTCTTGTTCACCAAATCAGCCTTAGTTTTGCCAAAGGATGTTGTATGTATACATGCATCTTGACCCATTTGATAGGATAAAGAACAAATATATGTAAGACATATATAAAAGATGAGGTGATCTTCCACCTACACCCTATCGAAATGTTTTGAAAACAACCACGCACTAAACCAAAAAAAACTCGAATCAACAATCCACAGATGTGTCTGGTTGTGTCTGGTTATCAGTTGTTTGATCTTTGGTCACCTGACTGGCCTGCTTCTGTTGTTCAACATACCTGTTAATTTTCTCAAGCAACTGGGCAGCCTTTCGACGCCCTCTCTCCGTTCCGTTCTGTGCTAAATCAAGCAAAGGTTCCATAACACCCAGTTCCTGAGCTATGACCACATTCTGGTCAGCCGAGCATAAGTGACCCAAGACCGCGGCTGCGTTCTCTTTGTTCCGAGGGGACCCACTTGCTACGAAGGATACTAAGACCGGCATAGCTTTTGCGCTCCCAATGGCTAACTTCCCTTCGGGATGACTAGCTAATATAGCGAGTATGGCTAACGCCTCATCTACCATACTCCCTTGTGGTTCGGTCAACAATTGCATTAATATGGACACTACCCCTGCTCGAACCGCCTTCCCTTTGTTGCCTTGATATATGCACAGGTTGAAGAGCGCAGTGGCGGCATCTTTCTTCCCTCTTTGGCTACCCTCATTTAACAAAGCCACTAGAGGAGGAATAGCTCCCGAAGCACCAATTATGATCTTATTTTCATCCACAACAGAGAGACTAAATAAAGTGGCTGCCGCATTTTCTCTTGCCTCCATGCCTGCTTTCTTGAGGACATAGACGATGCCAGGGACCGCATTTGCAGATATAATCACTCCTTTGTTGTCTTCGCATATGGAGAGGTTAAGTAAGGCTGTGACTGCATGCTCTTGGGTTCGGGAATCGGGTTTGGATAAAAGGTTGACCAACAATGGTATAGCCCCGGCTTCTGCTATCGCTATACGGTTGTCAGCGTTTCGTTTGGCGAGGAGACGGATCTCGCCAGCGGCTGTCCGTTGGTCTTCCGGGTTGCCTGATCTGAGTTTGGATATCAGAGTTCCTATCTTGCAGTCTTCAACGGGCGAGGAGGAGGATTTATTTTGGCGGGACCGGGAAGTCCCAGGTCGTTTAGGCGGTTCGATCCCGTTTGACTCGCACCATTGTGTTATAAGACTGCGCAAGACGTAGTTGGGGGTGAGGATGTTGTGAGTTAGGGGCTGTTGTGTCTTTGGGCAGCTGGTGTGTCCTGCTTCTATCCATTTCTCAATGCATGAACGTTCATAGGTCTACACTTCAAGAAAATATAACCAGTTAGAAGGAAGCAACTGGAAAACTACGGCTGAACCACTACTGTTTCGGTCTCTGAAGAGAAAACAGTCTGTTTTAATGGGGAACATAATGAAGCAAGTCCAAATAACCAAAAACATCAAATTTATAGATAGAAGGAAAAGGTGCAAATATTTCTTTAACAATGGACTCAAATATACCCTTAACAGACATAATGATTGCCTACAAATTAAGATTGACACTCAAATTCTAAGACAGCCTAAAGATCACAAAAAATACACAATTTCCTATGTAGTGTACAAAAACGTCATTGATGCATAAAATGTTGTGTGAATGAAACTCTACAATACATAAATCTTATATTTGAGTTATGTACTTTTTTAAGGTTTCTATGAATGAAATATTGGTTTCACAGGAAAGATTCCACACATGATTAATTTGATATTCATGTAAAAAAAGCTTACTAGTGGTGAAAAAAAGTCAGGCTTTGTAATATGATAAGAATAAAGTAACGGCTATGGGCCAAAACGTATATTTTCACCTGCAGGGGCTAATATACATTTTAACCAAAAAATACTTTCACATGAAGGGTAATATGTACCTTATCCCTTTAAAAGTATGCAAATAAAAAAGCAATAGAATTGGTTGTCAAACCTGTCCAGTTGAAACAATGACAGGGTCATTCATAAGCTCCAGAGATATAGGACAGCGGAAATCATCTGGTATAACTGGGGTTGTCTTTCCACTCTCCTCTGTGGATGTCTCTCCTAAGCTTGAAGACTTCTCTATGGCGGAGGAAGAATTAATGTTGACATTTTCAGTCTGCACAAAGTCTTTAATCTTCTTTAACAGCATTGACATCTTCTCTATGGTCTCTTCTGGATCCCCACCTGTAGAAGTAACCATCTCATGCAAAGCTAGAGATTCTTGTGTAAGATCATTTATTCCGGCTAGTTGTAACTTGTCTACCAATCTCCTCAACAAAGCTGGATCTATAGAAGTCTCACTACTGTTGTAAAGGGATAACAAATCCTCATATATGTCATCGTCAGGTGTATCTGCCTTCACTTTGGCCCTTTTGAACTGAGAAAGAACAAGCTCAACCTGGAAGAAGAAAAATCAAAGACATATCAGACAAGATGATTGAAAACATGTTATATTTTTAAAACAAAAGATCCTGGAAATTAAAGGCATGTCTAGAGAATGTTTAAACCTGTTCTTTAACTTCATCTGATAAGTCAAGGTTTTCAAAAGAAATCTCACTCAATGCTTGCTCCAGTTGAGTGGTCACTTCGTGAAAATTATTCAAAATTTGATCCCTTTCTAAAACCTGCAAAAAAATAAGTGGGTTGACATTGAAGGCAAAACTTGATTGGTATTGAAGATAATATTATACTTCTGGTTTCACAACTATTATGTAATTTTCTGTTTTGATTATTGACTTTCATTTTTCACTTTTGGTGCACTACTATGGATTTCTTGCCACCTTTGGTCCTTCCAATCACTTAACCAGCATGTTCTTAGTGTTGTTTTTCACCAGATAAGTGATCAGGAGGATCAAAAGTAGCAAAAAGTTCATAATCATGCACCACAATTGGAAAAATAAAAATTGGGTAGCAAAAGTGAAAATGGCTGAATACTCATGGGACCAAAAGCAACATATGTCCATGCAGGTATCACATAGAATGGCAGAGCTATTAAAGCTATAATGGTAATACATAAAATATGTGTGTGTGTTCGTTCATGTAGCAACTTATTAAATCGTGAAAAAGTTGTGAACATATCAAAATCTACTATTACATGTTACAGATACAAAGTTGAAAAATATGAAACAATAAATGCTAACAAATGAAAACAATGATGAGACGACGTTCAAAACGGTTTTACTAAGACAAGCACAAATATGGTCATGGCTATAAATTCTAAGGATCAATTTGAATGATAAATCAAAGTAGAGAGTAGATTTGGAATCTAAACAAGAAGAAATTATTTAGGGTTGAATAGATGAGATTGCATTGAATGCATAATGGATAATATTATGGAAATCAACTGCTCCTACTAGTGACTGACTATGATTAAACAGCTACAGTTATCCTAAAATAGTGACTTTAGTGGCAATCATTGAAGGGGGAAACATAGAGTACAGTCTAAGAATGCAAGTAAAACAAAACCATAACACAAACTTTCTTTTTCCTAATTTGTAACAATCAAATAAAAGTTTAGAGGTCATTTAATATGCTGTAGATGGTCTGGACTCTGAAGCATGTTTAACAACTACTGAAAATGCTGCAGATGAAATACAAGTGAATAGAGCATCTAGCTAAATATGGAATGTATTAGAAATTAGTAATTCTGTCAAGTTATCTCATCAAAACATATACAACAAGGGTAATAGTTCCACTTGAGGATATTATGGAATTTCACATGTAAAGGAGTTGTATCCGCCAAGATCTTAGTGGTAACTTCTTCCATAATTGATAGATACATAAAAGATTTCCAAAAAAGCAGAAGATATTATAAACTTTTAGATTGATAGCTTTTTCATTCAACTCCATATCCTATCCTCCTTAGACTGCCCCATTTTTTCAAATCCCACATATAGCTCTTGTCGTTTCATAATTTCATACCTTAAATTAAAAAAGCAAAATTCCTTCAAGAATTCAGATAACGTTTTGAAATCCATATTTTTGAAAGGGGAAAGAAGTGAAAATAAAAGGCATATACTGATATACCTATGCTGCAGTTCACTATAAGCTTCATAAGATAGAAAAGAAAAAATTCAGTTTCAAAGATTAAATTTTTATAATGAGTGCAGTAACATCAAGTCTCCAACTTCAAGCCAAAGAAACTGCATCAAACAAAAGCAATCGAAGAAAGACAGAAACTAAAGAAAGATAAAGAGAAAAAGAAAAAACACACAAATCAAACTAAAAATCTGCAATTTGGGAAAGGGAGCGAACCAGGAAAATTTTGCTGCCCTCCCCACCAAATTTGAGCAAATTCTTAGCTGAGTCAAGAGCAGCCTTCAAGGATACCAGCGCATTCAACGAGGCTTCAGGGACCGCCTCTTTGCTATCGCGAATCTCTTCAAACATCGGAGTAAGAAGCTTCAGCCGCCTGGCCAGAGTGAAATACTGCTTCTTCACCACGGACCTGAAGTCAGAAATGGCCGCTATTTCGTTCACCACTTCAATCAGCTTCCTCGTTATCGCCACTTTCTCCTCCTCCATTGTATGGGAAAGAAAGAAATCTTACCAGAACCCAATAACAACACCCAAAAAGTGGTCTTTTTCGGAAAACCAAAATCAAATCTGATAAAGGGGAGCTGACGGTTGAATGGGTTGACCCGACCAGATTGCAGCGCCAGCCGCCGTGGCCGCCATTTCAGACATCGGGATTTTCAAGAAAGTGGCCGGAAAATGGAAGGGATTAAATGAAGAGGCGGTGGAGTGATTTAGGGGCAAGAACAGGGAGGTGGGGTGGGGCCGAGGAAGAAGGAGGAAGAGACAGCAATGGGTATTTCAAGTGTAAACGTTTCCAGGGTGGTGAGGATGCCTTAGACGCGTCAGTGCAAGGGCTTGATGCTGACAGCCATGAGCTGAGCTTTTCTATATGCGAGTTTCTTTCTTTTCTTTCTTCCTTTTCTTTTACTTCTTTGCCTCCATCTCCATCGTCATCAAAACAGGAAGCAGTTAATGGTTTTCTCATAAATTTGACATCTTGTTTGATAAATGTTTTTTTGCGGATCGAGACATCAGCTCACGTTTGTTTTTTTATAGACAAATAGGTTTATAGTAAATAAATTATTTGAATACCATAAGCTTATTTTAGATGTGAATTTATTGTAAGCAAAAGTTCTTCCAAAGGCACCTTTAAATGTAGAGTGTTTTTTAAAATGATTGTGGAAAACTGGAAATAGTTTTGAGATTACATCTATAAAGGCGTTGGAGATTAAAAAACGATATTCTCTATCACATTTTTTAAAGTATTCTGTATCACATTTTTTAAAGCCGAGTACTATTACGTAGTATTAGTTAGATCTTTTTTTTTTCAAAAAGAACAATTTTAGTGACTTTTTGGTGAGGTGATTTTCCAGCTTATCAACAAGTTATTTATTAGTTAATTTATTTATTAGTAATTACTCCAAATAGGAGCAAAACTAGGGTAACATGTCAAAATGTGGTATGATTTTTTATGTTTTTATTCCTAATAGGAGTATAGGACCAATCTACTTCAATTATGAAACATAGGGAAATTAGCATTTCATTTTTATCCCTCCAGCTATTTACTGAATATTAATCACTTATTAGATGTAATGTAATTTAGCCTCTTACTTATTTAGATTTAATTCATTTATTAGCTAAAAATGATTTGCTTCAGTATCTATAGGTATTTTTAGCAATTTTAACATAACCATTATCTCTACCAAAACAAAGTACAAAGATATAAATGAACTCCCACTTAATCCTACGGTATCATTTTGTATTATTATGTTTCTATTTTAGTCCCAGACCAGGCAAACCAGATCAGATCAGATCAGACCATATCAGAGCAGACCAGACCAGACTTGGCTTCCGTAGTTATAAAATTCACAGAGACCAAACGTTTACCAGACCAGTTTAGACCAGACCAGACCAGATCAGACCAGCAAATTTCAATTCAAAAAAACATCCTTGATCCCCAGGCCATCGCATTTAAATGAAATCTTTCTTCAATCTTGTAAAATCAGAATGTCAATGTTACTAAAAATTATACTCCCTCCGTCCCTCTATTAAGTTACTACTTTGACCTACACACATATTTAGAAAATAAATTTGACTTTACTGTTTAGACACTGTTTGACATTGTTTAGACATTGTTTGACACTGTTTGGCACTGTTTTGCACTGTTTGACACTGTTTTGATGTAGGATAACTTTCCATTTAGGAAAATGAGAAGATGATTTTGGGACGGCCCAAAAAGGAAAGTAGGAAGTTAATAGCGGGACGGATGGAGTACAAGACAACAATATGTCCATCGTTTACTAAAAAGCAAGAGATTTTTCAGTGGGGACGGACATTTTATGTGGTATATCAAGGGTAACATTCAAGAAATAAATAGTAAATATAAATAATTCTTAAATTATACTTCGTATTAATACTCTTCTACTTTTACTTATTTCCATTAGGCGTGGACAAACAGGTACAGGAATCACGGGTCGGACCGGGTAATACAGGTTCGGGTGGGTTAGGATCAGGTCCTAATTTTAGAAAGCTCCAACGGTTCGGGGCAGGTCTTAGGGTGTGTTTGCCATTGCTTAAATTAAGTGTTGTTTGGCTTTTAGATTAAAAAAAGCTAAAAGAAGTGTTTGGTAATCCCAACTTCTAATCCCCACTTTTAATTTAAAAGCTGGAAGCTGGGGTTTGGCAGCTTCTAACTGCTTTTAGGTTTTTTTTTGTAAATACAGCAAACTCCAATGGCATCAAAAAACCCAAAATATCCTTAGCTTCTTCCGCACCAAATCCTTGTTGCCCCTCTCCCTTCTATAATTGCAAGGACCATCTTCCGATGGAGAAGCTGCGAGCAACAGGACTGCCGGAGATGGACAAGCCGGAGAAGCTACCCCACGACGGCGAGCCTCAAAACCAGAGACGACGTTCCACCTCAAGGCCTGAGTACCCGTTGATGGCTTTCCTGCCGGTCTTGAAGCTTGGAAATCGGAATTGCAGGTCTTGAAGCTTGGGGTTTGATTGCCAACACTCCCGTATTCTTCGTGGCGGCGTTTTGATGGAAATCGGAATTTTGATTGCTCTGGGTCTTGAAGCTTGGAAATCGGAATTGAAGGTTTTGAAGCTTGGGGTTTGATTGCAAGTCTGGAAATTCACCACTGACATGTTCCTCTATTTGGGGTTTGGGATTCTTCAGGTCTTGAAGGTTTGGCCGACGGCCGACGACGCACTTTACCGATTACGATGGGCGTTTGTAGTCTTACAAGGCCAAGGGTGTATTTGTAAATTATTAAAATATTATATCTCAAATCACTTTTTTATCAAACACTCCAACTTTTACCATTTAATAAAAATCATTTCTATTTCCAAACACTATCTACTTTTACTTTAAATCACTTTTCCAAAAATCTCTTAAAAAAATCACTCTAAAAAAGCACAAGCAATCGCAAACACTCCCTTAATAACTTAAGAACCAAACGGGTCTTAAAATTTGAAAAAACGGGTACCCAGACCGATCCGTTTTATAATGTTATTAAAAAAACATATTACATTTAATAAAATATACTAATTAATAATAGAAACTTTTTCATGTTCTTGTGTTTAGACAAAGACACAATTAAAGAGACTTGACAATCTATTAAAAAGAGTTTCAAAGTTCATAAAAAATCCTAAATTATTTTCCCCGATTCTCTATTCCAAATACATCAAACTTTCTTTAATTAATATTTTTTGTAAACGAATACTCTTACTCAATGATATCATATTAGTTTAGTTTAGTTTCTTCTGACTTTATAGTGATATCATATTAGTTTAGTTTCTTCTTACTTTATAGTAATATCATATTACTTTATGACATATGATGTCTAAATTTCTACATTTTAAATTTTGGTGTTATTCAATTTGGGTGGTTTTGTGTTGTTTAATTTATAGATTTGTTAACAAATTTAAAATGTTATTTTGTATTCTTTATTTTGAATTTGCACTATATTATGGTGACATTGATACTTAATTAGTCGGAGAATGTTATAACTATTGATACTTTGCTAGCATAGCAGTGTTTTTTTTTTACAAAAAAAAAAAGAATCGAGAACTCAGACCGAACCGGCTCGTTTCAAACGAGGCGGGTAAGGTCTGGTTCCTATTTCAACACTTGGAATACCCGGACCGAACCTACCCGTTAAGTGGAACCGGCGATTCTGAAAATTTATCAATTACTTGGACTGACCCGGACCGCGCCTACCCCTAATTTCCATGTATTGAGTTCCCAAAAGGGATTAATATAATGTAAAATAATAGTCCCTCCCTAACTTTAAAATCTTCTCATTTCAAAAGTAGGTAGATTAAGAATAGTGAAAGAGAATATAAATTATTGAGGGTATGATGGGAAGATAGTGGAATAATATGATGGAATGTAGGATAAATCCAAAAAAAAAGTAGTTGTAATAGTGTATTGTTTTATGAATTAATGAGGGTATGATGGGAAGATTTAGAAATGGAAAGATTTTTTTGTTACAGACGAAAAAGGAAAGTGGGAAGATTTTTTTGTTATGGGGGGTATAGAGAGTGAATAGTACATAAAAGTTAAAAAGAAAGGGGTAGTAGTGAAACCTATAGAATGGGAGGCGCTAGTGAAGACATGAAAGAGTAAATGAAAAACACAAAAAATGAGAAAATATGAGAAAAAATACAAAAAAAATGTTATGAAAAAGATAAAAAGGAATTAAATGTATGGTAAAATACTCGAAAAAATACTCCATAATAAATAAAGAAGAAGTGATAAAAATAATTTCACCTTTCACTGATTTTCTCAAAATAATATACGGAGCATCAATCTAAACTTAACCATAAGATAATACGTAGTATCACTTTTGCATCTTGTCTTTTTTCGTGATTTATGATTGATATATGACTAGTTATGACCTTTCACAAATCCTTTCACAACAGCTCCATGCATGAATTTAAAATAGTGACCTCAATGGCAGATGTGTCCACAATGTTGTAGTGGTGTGCGGCACAACAACTGCATCGCGCCACAATGACGATGTGATTTGCAATATGCATCGCAATGTTGGAAAAACCTGAACCCCCGACCTCTTCTAAGATCACAAGCTCAAAGTACTCTTGTACATTCACACACGCACTCGTAACACAAAGACTCAATCTAACAATATCACTTTGTATTATGCAATTGACATGCACAAGAGATACTTTACAAGTAAACGGGTAGTTCACATCACTCTTTGTATATTAGACTACTTCACTCTCACACCCCTCTCTCAAAGAGGCACTCACTGAAGAGCTCTCCTCAAGGCTCTATCTCACTCTCATCATTTGAGGAGGCTCTCACAAGGCTCTCACTCAAGGCTCACTCCTATGAATGAGGAGTCTCACCCCTATTTATACTAATTTCTTCGAAACTTATCTAGAATTTTCTATACACTACTACATTTCCAGAATCTTCCAATAAGTATCAAGAAGCTTCTCTAATCTTCTAGAAAGACCTAGAGAACTCCACATTGCTTGAAAATGTTCTAGAGTTTTCCATACACTTCCCCACGATTCTAGAGAATTTCACACTTCTCTAGAAAACTCCAAAAGATTCTAGGATACTCTACACTCTTGCACACGCTTCTACATAATTCAGCACCTCTCTAGAAAGCTCTAGAATATTCTAGAACATTTAATACTTCTCTACACACATCTAGAATATTCTAGACATTTCCGCAAAATTCTAGAATTCTGATGAACTCCTCAATTTAGGATGGAACCCAACAAATCTCCCCCTACCAACTTAACTGAGAAATAATGGTCAACCACTAATAAGAGCCTCACATTTAGACTGACCAACCTCCACCTTGCATGTGAGTTGATCCTCTCAAATAAAGCTTGCATCACACCATACGAAAAGTCACCAAGGAATAGTCATGATCTCATTCGCAGCAAGAAATGATCCATTAAATTGTCTTGTGTCATAGTTATCTACTAACGGGACACGCCACCTCATTACCTTAATATCAGGAAGACTTTCGATATAA